GTGAAAGATACATTTGTGCGTTTACACCGTATACGTTTTTTAAATGCACTACTATTTTGTCTTATATTTATTTATAGCCACTTGGATTATCTTTGCATTAATTTAATAGTTTTACATTTTTACACCTGAGATTTGCTTAAAAATAAACACCTTAGTCTAACTTCAGAGCCAGACTCTCCGCTGGCTTTTCGCACAGCCCTTCACACTGAGAGGCGCTGCCAGCGAGGCCTGGGAGAGAGCCCTCGGCCCCGGCCAAACACATCAAGCCCCAGATCCATCTTTTTGACTCTCAGGCCCCAGAGGCAATATCAAATCAGCCAAAAATTTCCCATTTTTTTCACTATTCTAATTTTTCTCTTTCCGCATTCAAATAAGCGGCCAAGAGAGATCAGTTCTGAAACCACAGGAAACAGACAGTGTACCTCTAGAAATAACCCCGGGGCTGAAACGCAAAGGAGCATCCGCCGTGGCCATCAGTTTACGGGCCATGGACACATAAAGCATTTTAAAGCCTGAAATACTGAGGAGGTGAATGGGCACCGTCAGTCACAGAAACTTTGCGGGGAAACCAAGGGTAAGAATTAAAGCCAATTATGTATAAATGAGTCGCTGTACTGTATTCTGTATGACTTAAAATAAATGTTGGGTTTAAAAGTAGACAGAATACAGTAATTCAATTTATATCCAGACCTGGACTTAAGAACTACCAGACAATTTAATCCACAACTGCTTATGTATTCTGACTGCGTGATGTATATTTTGTAAGCACTGATCAAATAAAAACAAAGAGATGTAAATGCTCCCTCCTTCTAGGTGCCCAAATATTAAGGACACAATGGCAGTAACAGGGGTGCGAGTGTTAAGAAGTTTAAAACACTAACAATAATTCATATTCACTGAGCACGTTCTACGAGCCAGGCCCCAATCTAGGTTGATACCTGCCGACACCCATCAACATACTTAATTCTCACGACAACTCCATGTAGGTACTATTATTAGCTTCATTATGCGCGTGGGGAACTGAGGCAGGAGATTCAGTGACTTACCCAAGTTCACGCGCCTTAGAAGAGTCTCAAGGAAGAGTTGGAGCCCGCGTGCTGGGACCCCACAGCCTAACTTCTCAACCTCTGCCGAAGCCAATGATTACGCAGCGTGTGCCTCGGGGAAGAAAGTCTTCAAAAAATAGGGAGGCCTCCACGACAGGGCACAACACGCTCAATTTGGAGTCATCCTCTCTATGTGTCTCCTGAGTTACAAACCATCTCTTCCTTCCTTCATTCATTCACCAAATAGTTATTGTGCCCTAATGATTCTCAGCGGCACAGAGTTGGGAACAAAACAGATCGAGATTCCTGTCTCTTCAGCTACAGAATCTAGCAGGGCGCCCGACAATCGACAATACATGAGTCAAGGGGGTTGAGCAACTGTGAGAAAGGGTGGTCAGAAAAGGGTTCCCTGAGAAAGTGACATTCGAATAAAGACCTATAGCAGATGAGAGGTGACAATCTCTGCATTTATTAGTATAACAAATGTCTTTATTTTAAACTGTCCATTGCAGTGAAAGCATACCAATTCATACTTAATCTGCCTATAGGTTTGTTGTGCAGATTAAATGAGAAAATGGATATAATGCAGGTAGCACAGTATGCCTGGCTCATAACAAGAACTCAGTGAATGCTAGCTGTTATTATTATTGCTATTGTTTTAATAAAGTCATGAAATCAGATACATCAGAAGTATCTGCAGTCCATTCACACTGGGAGTCCAAGACGACCACGTAACAGTCTATCAGTTGGATGCTTAACAAGTCACTGATCCTGGAATCAATATATTAAAGCATTACAATTTAGGTCTCAAGTATAAAACCACTAGTCACAACTACGTTCCATGACCTGTCAAGTACTCGGGTTGTCGATGACATCAAAAGACTCACCCAAACAGATGCGGGAAGCCAGGTGCCCCGAGGAGCTGGGTGGCGTGGAAAGTGTGACGGGTGGCTTGCCTATTTGCAAGCTTCACCTTCTGGAAGTCTCATGTCTATTTTTTTGGCTGCAAGGGAAGTGTTTACTTCTCCTTCTATGAACAGATGATTTTCTACAGCTCAGGGGTTTTAAAAGGTCAGCAGTGATAAACGGCTTCGGAAGAGCTCTTGGATATTTTTTGCTACTCTTATGAATTTTTTCATACAAATGTTGCTATACAGAAGACGATCATGCAATGCATGGAAAATATGTATTCTGGATCCAAAAGCAGCATATTCCAGCAAAATTTCCTCAGCTCTCTCCCTAATGACTTAAACATCCATTTCCACTCACTTCTGCAGAAGTACATTCGCAGGGGGAATGAGTCTGAAGAACAGTAGCCTTTACAGAGGGAGCTACTTCCCTTCCTTACCTGGAATGTCTTATGAGTCTGTTCTTTTCACACATGGGAGAGAAAGAGTCCTATTGTTAACCTAAATTCCCTTTCTTTGGAAAAGTAAGAAACACTCAGGCTCTATCCTCTTACTAGAGTTTTCAGTTTCCGACCCCAAAACTACTATAAAATGTAAAAATCGTCGGGCCAAGCAGCCAGATGTAACATAGTACTGTGTCAGGGTCCTTCGATGTCCTACTTGGCTGAATCATTTTCGAAAATATTTTCTCTTTGGTGATAGATGTAGAGTTCTATCTCCATGCCACAAAACCGCCAACTGCCCTGGAGCGTGGTCAACAATGGTTTTATACTTTCTACACTGTTTGTAGAAAATGTACCTAAAAGTCTGAAAACAAAACCACACTTGCTCCCAATTTTATTTCTTTGATTTGGCAAAAGTTGCCTTTACTGTGTTTTCTGGTTTCCAACGAACACAAAACCGGCCTGAGAGTTGAACCCAACTTGTTTCAGTCTTTCTGATACTGTTCTCAGTAAACATCGAGAAGCCAGCCATCCTGACCACCTGCATTTGGCATGTTTTCCAATTTTACTATTGGCTAATTGATATAATAAACCAGAGTTAAGTTCCTGTGGTAGCTCATCAACATAATAACAAAACGAGGACCCTATGTGTATAAGCTCCACAGGTAATCCCGAGCCCCTGGGCTAGCTTCGTCCCACACTGAAGCCAGGGACGGAGTCAGGACATGCTGCTGCTGCCACAAGTGTCGGTCCAACAGAAGGAAATTTGGAGCAGTTTAATATATTGGATTAAGCCCCAAATAAATGGAAGCTTTGCAGAGCTTATTCTGGAAAGAGAATACCGTGCCTAATAATTAGAAGATTCCATATATGAGCACAATATTCTAAATTACCTATTTTATCACTTGTAGAATTGTCCAGTTTCTGGAATAAAAAGAAAAAATGAACCAAGCAAGCACCAGAGAGAGTATACTAAAGCACAGTAATTTACAAAGCACTAGACGTTTTCGAAAAACTCACTTTTAAGTTCAAGTCTTGGCCAAGTAAATGCCTAACAAAAGTAGAACTGCAACTCAATTAGAGTGAATATAGAATGTTCGAGTTGCAGAAATCGGTATTAAAAAAAGATAGAGAACTAAAGGACAATGGCTAGGTCCAAGAGGAAAAATAAATGTGACTTTCTTTATCCTGGTATATTCTTCCAGAACGACAGTCTTGACAAGTGAGCACTTGAGGCTACTTACTTTGTTCTGAACATAGTTTTTTCGTGGCACGACCACTGGCAGTGGCCACTGGAACTATTTTCCGGGGAAGGGAGCCCTCACCGGCCAGGACACAGGGCAGGGTGCGGAGGCAAACCCGCACCTTCTGGAACGCAGGGCAGCGTGCCTTCTGCAGCCGGGAACGCGCACGCCTGCACGCGGGGCCTCAGTCCCAGAGCTCTTAACATCAAATCACCCCAAAACCCAAGCCACGGAAACGTGGCGCCCTTGTAAATTTCTCCGGGCCACCTTTTTATGATGTTTTCACTCCGTTTCCCAACTTCTGATCCATTTCAAAGCCCTCGAAAACTGCCTGCTCCAGCCGCGCCCTGCACTATCTCTTTTTTTACTTGAAGCCAAATCTGGCGTGGATGTTTCGTCTGCTCAGCAGGAGAGCAATTTCCACGATCTCCTGCTTTTTACAAGATCAGTGTAGTCCTCGCAGCATAATAATTAGTTTCAGATGAACCTGGTCGCTCTCCTCGGCCCGGTTCCACCGTGGTATGAGCGAGGGGAGCGGATACTTCCTGCTGCTCCGCTCCTTAGAGCAAAGCATGTAGGCACTATCCTAGCCCCAGGGCAGGCCCTCCGCAATTGACTTCTTTAAAACACAGCCGGGTTTTCATAGCCGACATTCTCCAAGAGGTCGATTGAAATTATGATTATGGGAATCTTCTCAGTTTACTTTTAAAAAGGCTCCGATGAATTATTCCTCAATTTATCAAACTGTAATGTCATCAAGAACATAAATCTTATGACTATAACCAGCGCTGTATCCCTGCAAACACACAGAGGTCGCAAACAGGAAGCCAACAGTGTTATCTTAACTTAATTGGCTTTTAGGGGATAATAAATACTGACAGGTAAGAAAATATACTGGCTTAGGGCTAAGGATATTAGACGAATAACTCTGGAAAATCTCTACTGGCAATGGTGCAGAGAAATCAAGCAAGACATTATTTTTATAAACAGAATGATGGAGGTGATCTATACAAAGCACAATCAAAACAAGCACCGTGTCGAGTTACACCCAGGAGTTGCCAGCTTTCCTTTGGGTCTCCCACGTGTCCCTCAATCATCACCTCCTGCGCATTCTGACTCACTGATTCAGTACCAGCAGTGAAATCATCTGTGAGCATTTTCACCACCATAACCTTAGGGTATGCTATTTATAAATCCCAGCAACCCTGAGCCATGACTTCAGGCAGGAGTCATGGGGATGCCTGGGGGTCTTCAGCTGGGACTATCTCTTAGTGTCTGAGGCCTGGAGTGCTGCATAGGAAGCAATGGCCTCGCTGCCTTATCACGCAGCGACCACGGAATTCCTCAGGTCTGTCTTACCTTCGCACGTACGGCCATCTCCAGAGATGGTGAAGCCCTGTTCGCAGACACAGTGAAAAGAACCGGCTGTGTTTAGGCACTCTCCGTGAGGACCACAGAGTCCCGGCTGCTCACATTCATTAATATCTGGAATTGAAAAGAGAGTGCCATGAAAAAAATCTGGTTTTTTCTCCCCTAATATCAGATGTACAGTAAAAAAAATCTATTACAAAATGGTTGGACACTGATTTTGTGGCACGATACACCATTTGTACAAATACCAGACCACAAGGCAAGTTGGACTGCCAGGAAACTATTTAGGTTGAATCACACGAAACAGCCAACGTCCAACCATTTTTGACCTACCAAAAAAAGCCATTTCATAGGTTCAACCCAAAGCTACCTTATTTTAGCCTTGAGGAACCGTCTCGTCGAATCTGTGAAATATTCGTCGGCGAGAAAGCCGTGTTCCCGTCTGCTATCACGCACACAACTCTGCTGTAGCCCAAACACCTTGTCACATCCATGCCTGTCAATCCCCAGGACGTGAACTTCTTAAGGGCAAGGCTGGGCCCCTCTGATTTATAGTGTTTGGTTCACAAACAGCCCTTCACAAATGTCTGCCGACTACATAAAATGAAACAGGCTCCGATCTTTATTTCATTGAAAATGGATGAAAGAAAGAAAATACGAGAGAAAGAGGGCCATTTAGATCAGGAAGCTATTATTTGCATAGCTTCGTGACGATGACATGGGTGACCGAGAGTCAACCGCTTAGTGCAGCACTAAGGGTGGAAGAGTGGTGGCTGCTACTGTTACGACCTGTGGGCACAGCACGCTGTGGTTCAGCCTGTGCTGACCGCCCTGCGCCCTGCCTGCCCCAGTGGGGAGCACTGGCACGCCCATGCCGGGGTCGTGACGCACCGACAGAGCACGAAGGGTGGGTGTAACCACGGTGTCCTTTCAAGCCAGTTCTAATTGCACCGACTGTAAGAGCGCCCCGGTTAACAACAAGGAATCCTGGAGAACGCTTCATCCGTTCACACTGGTACTAACCCATGGACCTGCCTATTTACACCGTGTTTTAACTGCTATTTTATTCTCCTGGGTCCCTCACGACACTGATTGCTCCTTGATGAGACTGAATGTTTTAACTCCGAGTCCCCAGCTTCTAGAACAGCACTTTAACAGTGTATTATGAATGTCTGTTGTTCTGTTCATACTCTACTAACTGAACAGCGCTCAGCTAGTTCTCTTAATTAAGGGGTGAGGGTCATAAAAACTATCACAGGTTGTTGGCACCATCCAGACAAGCCGTCCTACTAAGGTCATTTTCCTTCTTCCTACAGTATCCTGGTCTTTCCATTATCTCTTACTACAGAGGTTCTCAATACATCCTCTTAGAAGTCCATCTTTAATTCACTGAAAAGCACTTACCGAATGCTTCCTATGAGAAGGTTAAACAGGATGGGGCCCTTGACATTATGATGCTCACATATAACAGGGGAGGCAGGAACCGGCATGAGTAACTGCAAAGCTCTGAGACCTTCCTCGTGATCTCTAGAACATGCTTAGCCACCAACCTTTCTTTCTCAAGAAAGTCATCCCTTTCCCTACATCCAGGACCTCCTGGGCTCTTCTTTTTGTCCTGTTGACATTGTGCAACGGGAGTTCTGGCAACATCACTGCTTTATCCATCTCTCTGTATCAGTCCTGAACTCTTTACCCTTCAGTCTGCCATATAATTCCAACGAGCTGGCCTAGCCATGGCGAAAGCAAAGAAACCAAGCAGGAATTACTCATTTTTCTGAAAAAATATTTCCATTCTTGTTACTGTCACTAATTTCAAAATAGTCCGAGGAAAGGGAATGAATTATTTCCTACTTAACTATTTCTCAATATGATTTCACACTGGAAAATCCCCGTCTTTTATAAAAATCTCTGATAGCGTCTATGTTCAGTCTCTAACTGCTGCTAATATCTTAGATTGGTAATCTTTTTGGAACTCCGACTTTCTCTTAGCCTTAAGTTCCATTCTTTCTTCCCAATCTGCTGCCTAGAGTTATCTCTACCTGGGCAAGAGGTGCCCAAAGGTTCCACCGGTCTAGAGGTCAAGCCATGGGCATGCCCTGGAGGTTACTGGAGACCTCCTGATGTCACCCAGGTCCTCAAGGTGGCCTTTCAAAGCCGCCTGCTTTGCAGCTTCTCACAGGGGACAATGTGCATAAAGTTCGTGCTTCAAAAGAAGTCACTGATTAACAAATAATTGCATAAAAAGTTTGACGACAGGAACTGAAAACGAATTCCCAGACTTTTTTCCAGGAAACCACCGAGAAGGAGTAACACGAATATCTGGAACCAGAGAAACATATGCATTCAATTTGGGTTGTACTTATTGGGCCATTTCTAAACTGTGCTGCTGGTAACTCGGCGGAAGGCCGGGCTGCATTGAAGTTGGGTTTCTTTCACGGGCCGGAGATTCCACAGAAACGCACAACTTGGCACGTGTAAGTCAAAACGTGAAACCGAAGTGTGCTCCGAATCTCCGATGTACGCGGCACATCCCTAACGAGACGATGAACATGGAATTTCCACGCTGTCTGGACGTCATCATTAATTTTGCTGGGGGCAGAGACTCTTAAACACACTTCCACTGGAAAGAGACTTACTGATATGGAGCTTTCTTCACATTATTAGGTAAGGTTTAAAGTTTATGCCGATCACGCACTGTTATTAAAACACGCCCTGTGGTTATCAGCATTGTCATCCGTTACATTTTCAGCATTAAAATAAACTGAAATCTACACCAATCTACAGACTGGGGACATGACCATGGGATTAGATAGAAACAGGCTGCTAACTTCAAGCAGAGTCAAAAAATCACCAAGTTGCCTCCAGAAACATAGCAAAAAAAAGAGATGGTTCAAAAGAAAGTGAGCGAACATGCCACGTAAACAGGCCCTGGTAGGAGACAGCGGATGACAGAGCAGATTCATGGATGCTATTGTGTAAAGGTTTTAAAACCTGCTTCAGGAACACTTTTCGTTCGTTTGGATTTACATTTTCTTAAGCAGACATGTTAATATATTCTGGAAAACAGGAATCACCAAGGCGACAGAGAATAAAGTCAACTTAATGATAGTCAATAAAACATCCTATGTTTGGAGCAGTCACATATTTGAGAGTTGATATCAAATCACAAACAAATTTAATTAAAAAATGACAAAACTGGCCCTGGTCAGCTTGGCTCAGTGGTTAGAGCGTCGAGCCATGGACCAAAGGGTCTTGGGTTCAACTCCTGGTCAAGGGCACATACCTCGGCTGCAGGCTCAATCCCCAGCTGGGGCACCTGCGGAAGGCCACCAATCGATGTGTCTCTCTCACATCAATGCCCCCCCCCCACAAAAAACTGATGGAGAAAATATCCTTGGGTAAGGGTAAAAAAAAGACTAAATTAATTCCTTGCGATTTAACTCTAGACGTGTAATAATAAAATCTGCAGTATCAAATCATGGTCCATTTATGCTAAGACTCGGTTTTGCCTCTGTTCAGTCAAAAAAATTGTGATGAGAGACGTCAGAAAAGAAAGTATTACCTTTCAGCCAAAAATTATTAGCATTCAAAACAGGTTTCAGATTGTTTTTGTTTGTGTTGGGGCATCTCTTAGCATTTTTACATAAATCAAAATTCATTTTGTTAAGATGTAAACATCCCCAAATGGATATTCTCACATAAATTTGTAATTCAAATGTCCCTTTTCTCCTGCATTAAATCCAAGTACATTTAAATCTGCTTTGTAAACACTGAAAAACTAAAATTCACCTTATTGAATCACGATGGCAAATACGTGATATTCAATGAGGTATACGGCAGTGTGTTTAAATCTTGGGATCAGTAAGGGAATTAATTTTAAAAGATCTTGAGGCAAAGACCCATGCTTTGGTGCCTCAGTGACACACATCTGGGTGTGTGATCCAGACAGAGGATATAATGCCATTCCAGGGCCCGTCTTAAAGAGTAGACACCATCTTTCCTTCCTTGAATACTGCAATTGGGGACATGTGAGAGGAGGTGTAGTTCATGACCATCCAGAATTTACAGGCAGACACGTTCAGTAGCAGTGCATGAAGAATAACTTCGACAGCCCTTTGTCTCAGTGTTACTTGGAGATACAAAACAGAGCTCCGTAACGGCACAAGAACAATAAGAAAAAATAATGTTTCCAAGAATCAGAAATAAATATGCGTAAAGATAAATATAAGTGTGAGTTTCCGTTGGATTTACTAATGGCACAGTAGGCAGTTAGACGCGAGCACAGCAGGAAAGACAGGCCAGTTACAGAAGGTCAACAGGCCGAAAGCCCCTGGTACCTAGAAATAAGCAAATGTGGGAAAAGAAAGTATTGCAGGGGGTACCTTGCCCCCAGGGTGGCCTTTCCTCCCCTGGCATGACGCTAGTCATGTGACAGACCCCCTTAAAGAAGGAACACGGGGCTGAAGAACAGTCTCATAGGACAACCATACAAGCCCCTGCACGACCACTCCCCGAAGCCCCCAGGACAATGAGGTTGTGACCCCATCAAATCATCTCAGGGAAAATGGCTCAGGTCTGTTGACCATGGAGACAGCATTTTAGTCAAACTGGAAATAACATCTAGGCCTCAGTTGCGTTTCAGCTCCAGGCCCAGAAAAGCAGCAAGGCCAGGTGGGGAGATGCCACGGCTGCCATCAGGACCAGCTGCGATGACTTACGATCCTTGCCCTGGCACTGACTGTACTTGACGCAGATCAGAAAGATATTTTAATAATACAAATTGGCAAAGCCCATTTAATACATATAAAGCAAGTGGTAAAACCAGAGATCACCATCAGGAAGCATCAAGAACTGAGGAACTACGTAAACTCTGACAAAGCGGGGGAGAGAAGTACCTTGGCACCCTTTATTGTCATTTAGCTGGAATCCACCTGGACAAGTACAATCGTAGGACCCTTTGGTGTTAATGCAGTCTCCTCCCTGGCAAACGCTATTGTCTTCCAAGCATTCGTTGATATCTACAAGTCAATTTTAAAAATTGAAAAGATTAAATGAGTTATATCTTAAACAATCAGGTATTTTTCTTTACCTTTACACACAAAAATCCCATAAATGTGCATTTTTTTACATCACTCATAGCACGATTTGAAACGAGAGACAGCTTTTTAACTTTTAGAGTTCTTAACAATGGAACATTTTGAAATAACTTTAACTTTGAACAATATATAATCTAAAGTTTTAACATCAAATGAAATTAACTGGAAGGGGAAAAGTCAAAATTCCTTAACAAAGAATAATTTACTTGGCTATATTCTTGGTGGTGATAGAGAATATCAATATTCTTTAAATATGCACCACTAAGAATATCTTGAGCATCTATTTATACAAGATCCTGGATTATGCATTATAGGAAAAATTTAAAAGTATTTGGCATGGTCCCTGCCCCTCACGAGAAATGACTACTCAAAAGCAATTTGTATTAATAAACATGTGAAATAAATTGATTTAGAAATCCAAAAACAATTTAACATAAAGACTGTTGAAAATATAATTATTTACCAAAAGACCAGTACCACCAACTTCAGGTGTCACATGAATTTAGAGGAGTTATAAAGGACAAAGAAGGCTCCAGGGAACAAAAGGAATTTA